ATTTTTTGTTTTATTTTTTGTTTTATTTTAAATCTACGTTTATATATGAACATTTTTCAAACGATACATCACTGATTATACTTTATTCGGATTCGAAATGAATTCGATCGATTTAAAAGAATATTTTTTACATTTTTATTTAATCATACGTTTATTTTTTTTTTTTTGTTCGTTCATTTGTAAATTTAAAATATTTTATTGTTTATTTCTTATATTATTCTTGGATGATTTTCTTTCGCAGAACGAAGTCGACAGAGTGCGAGGGAGTGCCGTGCTCGAAAAAAATTGAGATATCAGTACCTGGAAGAACTTGTGGCTGACAGAGAAAAGGCTGTATTAGCTCTAAGAAGGGAGCTCGAAATGGTGCGTTACATTTCGTCAAAATCCTCTTTTTCTTTTTTTTAATTCCTACGATTTTTTTTTATTTTCTCAAAACATTCCTATCCTTTTTATCCTTAATTTTATTTTACACAGGGACAGGAATATATAAAATAACGATAATACTGCATATCTGTCTTCCTTCCTTCCTTCCTTCTTTGAGTTTTCTGTTAGAAAAGAAAAAAAAAGACAAAATAAAAAATGAAGAAAAATGTTAATATATATTCCTCGTCGTACAACTCGGTAAGATAGGTTTAAATTTATTAGATCTCTGGGGGGGGGGAAAGAAAAGTGGGTGGGGAGGGAGGGAGGGGGTAGGGGAAAGGGGGATGCTTTTTAATTACGCGAAAACTCGATCCATCTTTCGACCATATTTCTCTTACATTTTCTTTTGTCAAAGGAACCAAGCCAAGGGATGAAGTTAAAGTCAAGCGTAAAGTCTTTGTATCGCGTCATAAATCTCTTCTGTTGAGATTTTCCGAAAAAAAAAAGAAAGAAAGAAAAAAGAAAAAAGAAAAAAAAGAAAAGAAAAGTAGAAGGAAGAGGGAAGAATAAAAATATTAAAAAGTAAGGAGAGAAAAGAAACGTAAGAAGATGAGGATGAAGAAGAAGAAGAAGAAGAAGAAATAAAAAAAAAAAGTAAAATTACACCGAAAACTTTCGCCAAGATTAGTTTTCGTTTATGGAATACGTTAGAGATGAGAACGAGGAGAGGAAAAGAAGAAGATGAGGAGGAGGAGGAGGAGGAGGAGGAGGAGGTGATAATGCAAGAATTCTTCGCGGAAATGCCATAACCTCGTAACTTTCTTTCCCATAATTTTCCCCTTTTACCACGATCACCACACTGCCATTACTTCGTCCATCTTTTTTTGTGTAATTAAGTAAGTCATAGAAGTGCAAACTTTTTTATATAGAATACCAAGCCCTCTCCTGTTTTTTTTTTTCACCTTTTATACTAAATTCATTCTCTTTCTCTCTGTTTCTCTTTCTCTCGAAAGTGATCGTTGAAAAATATTTCACCTGTTCTTGTTTAATCTGACGACAGAAAAATGCACACGGTTTTTTTCGATGTTTTATAGATTCCATTCCAATTTTATACATCGTAAGTATAATATTCTATACATGTATATAAAAATATATTGGATTGGCAAGAGAGTAATTGCGGATTTTGATTATAGATGTTTCACTCCCATTTTTATAATACTCGTTAATGTTATGATTTTTTTTGTTATTATATATGTTATCTGTAATCCTTACTTAATGTTATGAAATCATTGCGCAGATATTATCTTAATGTTCTTTCTTTATTTGAATATTAATATGGAGTGCAAAAATGAACATTTTCGCAATATCTTGCTTTATTATTTCTCTAAAGGAAAGAATGCAAGGCTAGCCGCAAAAAGATACGTAATGTGTATGATGATAAAGCCCTTAAAGAAAGGCAATGTCAAAATTGGTTTGAAAAATTCCGTTCTGAAGATTTTTCTCTTAAAGATAAGCAACGTTCAGGTTGACCAGTTAAGCTGAATGAGGATGAAATCAAAACAATCATCGAAGCAGATCGTCACGTAACTACACGGGAGGATGCAGAGAAGGTAAATGTTTCACATACAACCATTGAGAATCATCACTGGAGACGAAAAGTGGATTGTATACAACAATGTCAATCGAAAACGATCGTGGTGCACGTCTAATGAGTCATCGCAAAACACTTCAAAGGCAAATATCACACAAAAGAAGATTCTGCTCTCAATTTGGTGGGATTGGAAAGGTCCGGTGTATTTTGAGCTGCTTCCAAGGAACCAAACCATTAATTCGGAGGTCTACTGTCGGTAACTGGACAAATTGAATGCAGCAGTCAAGGAAAAGCGACCAGAATTGGTCAATCGTAAAGGGTGTCATTTTCCAGCAGGACAATGCTAGGCAGCACACATCTTTGGCCACTCGGAAAAAATTGATGGWTATTGRTTGGGAATTAATGTTACACCCACCATATAGCCCTGATCTTGCACCATCGGATTACCACTTATTTCGATCTCTGGACAACTCCCTCCGTGGTAAAACTTTTAATGATGATGACGCTGTAAAATCGCACTTACTTCAGTTTTTGGGCAAAAAATTCTACGAGCGTGGAATATTCAAGTTTCTCAGAGAGATGGTAAAAGGTCATCGAACAAAATGGACTATAACTCATAGATTAGAGTTCATTACAAGTAAAAAAAAAAAAGCACTTTTATTTTATGTAAAAAATCCGCAAGTACATTCATGCCAACCCAATCCATACATACATACGTAGAATAAAACAAAACTTGAAACGTAGGTTTCGGTTTTGGAATATCGTAAATTTCATTTTCCCCGACCTAGGTCTTCCTAACTTTCCTCTATCTTTTCGGTGAAATAACGTCAACGTTAATTCGATCTGTTTTAATTAGATAACGGTATTTCATTTTACGTACAGACCAAAGCCCCCGAACTCTCACGACGAAAATCCCCCATTGGAATTGGACCGACAATTTAGAAAACGGTGGCGTGTAAATGCGAATCGCTTTCCGCTTACTCGCCCGTCCGTTCGTTTAATTCTCTGATGATGATCATCCAATTGTATTATTATATATATTGTCCTTTGCAAGTATGGTTGAGGCTTATAAAATCTACAACTACGTGTACTGCAAATTAATGATACACAGAGTTTTAAGTCGAAACGAATAAAATGAAATAACGAATTAAAGTGAGAAAATAAATGACAGAAATGAATTAACGGAAAGAGTGAAAAGAGACCACAACAAAAAAGAACACAAAAATACAACCAAATACTCCAAACTCAAAGAAGTATCCAAATCCTATTGGATAATTCATTTCGAAGTTCAATTTAATCCCATTGGAAGAAATCCTTCCCTTTAGATAAAATAGAAACGAGAACGGGATTCATTTCTATCCAATCTTTTGTTCGATTCTAAAGAAATCACAAACCTTCTAATAGTATATCTTTTTTTTCTTATTCTTGTTTACCTTGCAGTATCGTCAATGGGGACACGAATTGGATCACGGACGTATTCCCGAAGGGCTGCATACCATGCTGGAGCAATTTGGAACTCTTAAGAAAGAGAAAATCAACAGTTAAATCATCATAGATGACTAAATTATTTTCGAACGAATGTTGTTCGAATACTTTGATATTCCCGTTTCATTTCCTTATTTCCTATTTGTTTTTTTTTTCATTTCGTACCAACGATATCGTAGTAACCGAGTTTATGAATTGTTTTTACTTTCTTTTTTATTGTCTTCTTTTCTTTTCGACGAATTTTGTTTATTTCAAGGATACAGATTGTTAATTTTAATTCGTGCCTTATTATTATTCTTGGGAATCCATTTTACGAATATTATTTCTATCGGATTTTACATTTTATTTTTCAACGACTGGAAGGTTAATTGAAAACTTGAAGGGATCATTTTTGTTTGCGAATATTTATAACGGAATGTTTGACGATTGACGAAAATTTCATTGAATTTTTATTTCCTCGGTTACTTCGTTCGTCTTATTTCCCCGCCCCCCCCTCCGTCCCCCCGTCCCCCACCACCTTAATCATTTTCCGCAAAGAAAGGAAACGTTGTTAATGTTGTTTTATTTCAATTCCTATTATTACAATCTTTCCCAGTCCCCCACCCCTTCCACCCCTTCCACCCCTTACTCGTTTACTTCTTTCTCTCATCTCGTCGTATGAAGAAAAAGTTGTCGTGATAGTTGCGGTACTAGCAACCTCTCGTTGTTTCGTAGCACGTGTTTCTTTATTACGTGCCGTGCAATCGAAATTTGTTCCGTTGTTTACTACTTTTATTCGTTAAACTTAAAAAGAACGAAGAAAAACGAAAAAAAAAAAAAACAAAAATCGAAAGAAAAGTTTTTCTCTTTATCGTTTATTCTACAAATCTTTTTTTGTCGATCATTGAAAGATTTTTTTATAATACCATTTGTTAAAAAGATGAAAACGATAACGACAATTACTGATTTATAAATTGCATTAACACGTTCTTTTAGAAAAAAACGATCTTTTTCGATCGTTCGTTCATTTGTTTGACGACGAAAAATATGAAAAAGATAAAAATATATTTTTACGATGATCCTTGAAATTATAAATGACTAAATGATACGATTTTCGGATATAGGTAAGGATGCGTTTAATTTTTAGTTCGTTGATAGTAGCGGATAAGAAAAAAGAAAAAAAGAGAAAGAAAAAAAAAACAACAAAGGATAGAAAACAGGAAGTTGTCGTTGTGTTATCAAATATTTAGATGTTTGATCTATCATAGAGATAAAATTGACAACAAAATGTGCGTATTTCGTTTAATTTCGGATCAAAGATACACGACGCCTTTTGCTTCCATAAATTCGAATTGTTTATGAATTTACGATTCGTTTCACAATTGTTTGTTTGCTAAAATAATTCTACTTTTATTATTTTTCCTTTTAATTATTACTCTATTCCCCTTCCTTTTTTTTTTAAATACTATCTTTTTATTTTTTAATGATATCAGGAATATATATTATCTGATTGTATGAGAACTTTAATTAATTATCGAGGAAAGATTAGGCCGCGTTTTTGTACGTGCATACAAAGTACCTGTCACAGTCAGTAAAAATGATATTTTTATAAAACGTACACACACACACACACACACATATTATTTTGTATAGAATAATTATTATTGACAGAAAAATAATAGAGATTCATTCGCATATATTTCGATATATATATGTATGCATGTATATATATATATATATATTATATATTCGTATATAAGTTTTAAAAGTTTAAATAAAATGGATATTTTTCAATAAACATTCGCCAATTACGATTACTGCCATTTTTTTGGTATCTTCTTTTTCTCACTCTGTTGTCTTCGCATATATATATTTTTCTTTTTAATTTTCAGGATTACAGAAAAAAAAAAAAAAAAAGAACATAAAATAAAATAAAATAATAAACAAGAAGAAAGAGAAGCAAAAAATGAACCATATTTTATCTCTCGTGAAAATGCTAATTTTTGCCTGTGAGAGGAAAAACGTAGTTTTCATGCGAGGAGGGTGTGGGCGGGGGGAGGAGAGGAGAGGAGAGGAGAGGGTGGATGGGTATGCACTTTAAACGTGGATTTGCATATTGTCACGCAGTATACGGCGATCGTAGATCGGTCGCCATTTTGCATTATTTCAAATGCATTTCCTATCGGTATGCCCCCTTACCACCCCTCTTCCCCCTCCCCCTCCCAAACCTGTAGTAACGATAATAATACTACATGATAAAAAACAAAAAATCAACAACTAACAAACGAACAAACAAGAAAGGTAAATGTTTTCCAACTTACGCTCTGTCAACGTTTTTTCAGGAGAAAAAAAAATATAAAGAGAGAGAGAGAGAGAGAGAGAGAGAGAACAAAGCTTGGTTCGATTTATCTTCATTGATTTGATTTGAGATTTAATTTTTTTTTCTTTTCTTTTTTTCTTTATTGTAAAATATAAAACAAAAAATATATACCAATCTTTATATCACAAAAATTGTTGTATCCGATTCATGATACAAGAATACACACGTGTCTGTAGAACAATACTAAGAAAAAGAAGAAGAAAAAAAAAACTCATTTGGAATTAATTCGTAAGCTTATCGCATAGTTGGGGGTCTCATAAGATCAGGATGAAAAAAAAGCTTATCTTTCACGTCTATGGTGTGTGAATGTATATATATATATGCGTAAAGGTGGAGAAGGAAAATGAAAGGGTTGGTTGGACAGCTTGGAAAAGGGGCGCGACATTCACCCCCATCCACCTCCCGCCCCCCCAGCCCAGCCCCCTCGTGCGAGAAGCATTAATGGCACTTGCCGAGAATCGTAAAAGGTTGAACCTTTCGTATATGTTAGTCCCCTACTACCATTCTATCTATTTCTCTATGTAATATAACACGTATGCACGCATATCCCATACGAGATAACGATTCGCAATTCCGCGCACCATAAACCGCGAGCATTCAATTTCGTTCCTGCGGAAAAGTGCATTCCCACAGGAGAGACGGGTGGTTCCTCTCTCGCGGCCAGAGTTCATAAAGCGTTGTGCGAAAGTCCGTTTAAAAAGAAGAAAGAAAAAAAAGGAAAGGGGAAAAAAATAAAAATTGTGCTTGAAGGGTGGGTAGAAAAAGAGAGAAAGAGAGGGGTGGTTGGTTGGATGGTTGGATGGTTGGTTGGTTGGTTGGTTGGTTGGTGGAAGAGCATGGAGAGAAATAGAAAACCAACCGAGAAAGACGAATTTTACACCCGGCCAAACGGAACGAGTTCATTCGCGAAGATGGAGGAGAAAATAAGGGATCTTGTTATTATGGTTCTCTTTTATAAATATTTAAAACCGTGTTCGTTCGTCAGAAGCAATTCAATTACTTGCTATACCCCCCTTTACTCCCCCCCTCCTCCCCGTCTCTTTTCTTGCTTTATTTTTCTCTTCTCTTTTCTTTTTATTGAGGTTATATTTCTTTTTCGCGCGTTTTGGAAAGTGAAGGTTAGATGCGACCGAAAAATCGACACCACGAAGTTGTCGACGATATTTACCGATGCGCGGGAAAAGTGATTTCAAATTTACCGGCATGAAGTCATTCGTAAATAAATCAAAATTAGATTGTACATATTCATTTTTATCAATGGTATTTAATATCTTCATTTTATTTTATCATATTATTCGTATTTTCGACAAATTTAGAGTATTATTACATTGATACGCGAGATAATTGAAGTTATTGAGAGGTTATGTTCGTTTTGGTACGTTAACCCTTCTTTGCATGATTTTTTCTTTTCTTTTAAAATAAATCAGGGTGATGTAATTAATGCTCTAGATTAAAGGAAAAATATTGAAAAAAATCCTA